CTACTAGGAGCAAGGACGCTACTAGGGGCTCCTGGCCGTACTACTAGGAGCAAATGTTCGCTACTAGGGGCTCTTGGCATTACTACTAGGAGCAAGGACGCTACCTGGCCGTACTACTAGGAGCAAAGGACGCTACTAGGGGCTCCTGGCAGTACTACTAGGAGCAAGGACGCTACTAGGGGCTCCTGGCATTACTACTAGGAGCAAGGACGCTACTAGGGGCTCCTCCCCGTACTACTAGGAGCAATGTTCGCTACTAGGGGCTCGTGGCAGTACTACTAGGAGCAAGGACGCTACTAGGGGCTCCTGGCATTACTACTAGGAGCAAGGACGCTACTAGGGGCTCCTGGCCGTACTACTAGGAGCAATGTTCGCTACTAGGGGCTCCTGGCATTAGATACTAAGATACCAAGGTCTGAGTCCGAATTCATCTTTTTCATCCACCAGAACTGCTGGGAACAGAACGGTCCGAGGATGGACCCATCTACGACCGTCCGTCAGAGGGTCAGGACGCCCAACACTTCCCAGGCACAATCGGCCTTCGACACCGGCATGTGGGCTTCCTCCAAGGCCATGGTGGGTGTGGTGAGGTTGATCCCGCGGTGCAAGAATGACAAGGGGATCCGGTTTCTTCCAAGGAGGACACGTGGTCAGTTGAGAGGCAGTTGAACCTGGCTTGTTGGGTCAATCCAAGACGTCTTCAGCTGTCCCCATGCTTTCTTCCAGTTTCAAGTTTCAAGCGATTGCTTGAAATTTGTTTGGAAGTGTGCGCCACATGCTTAGCCGTCTGAGAGGACTTCGGCGAAATGTCGACTTGGCGCCTGCCTTCATCTCGCTCCAGTCAGTCTTTGCAGTGGATGCAAGTTCGGTACCTCGGGGACTGGCAAGTCTTTTGGTCGGACTCTCTTGATCTGTGGCTCTTGACTAAGTTTATGCTTTCTGGCGATGTCTTGACAATGTCGGTTGTAGCCTGCTACTTTCTTTTGGCCCCGACGCTTTTCGCAATTTGGGAGTGGCCCGAACTCACTCAAGAATTCACAATAGGTGTTCACATGCTGCCACACATATCCACAAAAACCTTGTTACAGTCCATATTAAGTTTTCACTAGCATCCATCAGAATCAGTTTGCGTGTCATTGGCTGCCAAGGCAGCGACGACAGCAGCATGGAGTTCATGGATGCTGTAGCCGGGCTGTCGCTGGGCAGAAACACGAGCCACCAAGTAGATCGTTTCAAACCCTCAGGGCTGAATGGCTATCCAATGTCTATGGCCTTCACTTGCTGAGCGCCATGTTCTGTTAGGTCCGGCATACCCTACACGCCTGCTCAGCTGCAGACCAAGCGGGACGAGTGGAGGAGAGCCTCTGAGTTTTTTTGAACCTCCAATTGGATTCATTTGTGGAAGATGCCGGAATACACTCCACAACTGTGTCCAACAGGTCAGAAATGTAGCCCAGGAATTGAACAAAAAAGCCAGCAGTGAACAACGATCGCAATGGACCCGATTGTTTCAGCCATAATTTGCCATTGCCTCACCAGCTGTGGAGTGATCCAACCTCAGATGTTTCAAATATGATCACATTTGACATCATCTTACGTGTTACATAATATGAAATATGAACTAATCCCATTATCATACATTAGTTATTCAATATATGATATGTTAATTTCTAATGATATATTATATACTTATTATATATATATATATGAGTTGTTATGTAATATCTCACGTGTAAGACAACTGATATGAATTAATAGGATCAGCGGTTCTGGGTCCACTCCAAATCGGAGGAACCCCACGGTGACGGAGCTGCCGAGCGTGAACGTGACCCCTCCGCCCACGCAGCAGAGGGCCACGCTGCCGGGAGTTCTCGGAGCGGGCGGAGAGTGCTGTCACAGACGCCCCCGACCACAGACATCCCATCAGACCTTTTTTTTCATTTAGACAGGTAGCAATCAGGCTGTTGATACCTTAAAACGACTTGTTGGAACCTAAACAGAGCTGAGTGTTTTTGACATCTTTACAGCAGATTAGCAGATTTTGCGAGTCACTAGTCTTTCATCTTTTGGACCGATGCAAGTCAACGGGTGATCTGGGTTTGTGGATCTCCAAGGAACAGCAACGATTGCTTGAGGGGTGAGGAGTATTTTGCAGGGCCTGAACCTCGGATTTGGGCTTTAAGGTGCAACATCGTGTCTGGAACATAGAGACCTGGTAAGTTGGAACACGACACATAGATGTTAACAGTTCTTTCGCGACAAGCACGGCACCCCACGGTGCTCAGGGCCTGCTATGCCAATTGCAGTGCCGGGAATCCAATTGCTGTGCTCAGTGTCTACAACTTCATGCTTGCATCCGGTTACCGATTTCTTGCACAGTGTGCCCCGCAAAGACAGTTGATTTATATAGTGTCCCGATTTCTGGTATTTTCTGGCGGGATTTACATGTCTGATCTAGGGGTCGCCCTGAAGTGCGCTGCACTCCGGCCGAGAGCCTTCCACCCTCCGGCTGAGAACTTGACGGCTGGGCAGTTTCCCATCAGATCGAGTCCAAACACCTGTGGAGCGCTCAGCCATTGGCCAGCAGCAACTAGCAGAACTACCATTGTCATGCAGAACTAGCATGAACTAGCAACTATATAGAGAGAATCTTCTTGTCTCTTCCAACAGACATTATCAAAGATGACGCAATACATAAGAGTTCACTCGACTATGAAGCTGCAGGTTGCAAGCGAGAACCATGCATCTTGTGCCTTAGATAGCATCAGAACTGAAGACAGAGCGAAGTGGGCTGTGAACGAATCAAGGTAGTAACAACTTTTTCCACTTTGTAGATCGTTGATGCACCTCTAGTACTCTAGTACTGTATGTTCGTCTGCGTGCCCGCTTCCTGTGGAAGACTGCCAACCACTGGCTTTACTAAGTCCTAGTCTTTTGTCATTCTCTGGGTACTTCGTTTGCATGGGCTATGGAGCATCTCGGCAAGAAGGGTGGGTCAATTCATGTCCAGCAGCGATGGGAGACATTTTGCCCAGGCATCTTGGCTTCAGAGAGACCATGTGAGCAAATCTACTACAGAATCCTCTGTATTTTTTTTATATTCCTTGGTGGGAAAGCGAGCTCTTGGGAGATGGGATATTCAATATTCAACTAGGGCCTTTGACAAACTCTTCGCAAAGATTATCCTGCACTAGTTGGATTCTTTATTGGGAACGTATCACTGTAGGTGGATATTTTTTTGTACAGTAAGAGGATGCATTTGGATCGGCTTGATGTCTGAGGTAGATAGCAGAGGTGCTTGCAGGGAGCCTTGATGTTAAGACTTCCAAACGACTTTCTGCTGTCAAGTGGGCTTTGCAGCCACATAGGAAGAAGAATCCCGAGGCCCTAGACAGCCGGGCAAGTGCAACAGCGATGAGGAGCCGTTGAGTTAAAACAAAACCTTCAAGATGTGTGCATGCCTCACAGAACCCGCCTCATTGACCTGGGGGATTACTGTAGATCAGATGGTTTTCTTTCCAAAGGCTTAGCGGTCAGATGCGACTGGTGACCGGATCATGAGCACGGAAGAAGATCATAAGCAGATACTGGTGTCAGCAACGTGCTGGATGCATTCGATTGGAGAACACTGGTGAGACTCCCAAGTTTGCATCCCGATTGACCTGCCACCAGCCCCCACCAGTTTAAAGTGGAGCCTGTTCAACTCAAGAGCACAACCTAGGAGCTTTTTGAGGGCCAATGCTACAGACAATGTGCTGGATTCTTGGAGTCGACGTTGCTACTCTGCTGTTGGTTGCATGCTTATGACATCCCCAAAGGATTCCACAAGACATCTTCTTCTAAGAGCTTCGTATTGACCAAGACCACACACGCCTCAGATTCGCCCCACCCCTTTCCGACTCAGGGAACACTCACGCAAAATGAGTATCCTTACCGCACAGGCATGGGAATAGTGCTGAAAGCCGCAGTCGAGAAGATCAGAAATCAGAAGTCTTAGTGGAATCAAATGTTGAATACTGAATAGCTGTACTAAAAGTAGCGTCCTTGTTACTAGTAGCGATGCCCTTTGTTCCTAGTAGCTTCTTGTTACTAGTAGTAAGGCCAGGAGCCACTAGTAGCGTCCTTGCTCCTAGTAGCGATGTTCCTGGTGAGATTTCCTCAGCTGCCGGGTTCCGCTCTTGAGCAATGCATCTTAGCTTTGCAAAAGATCCCTCTGAGTAGCCAGGTCCATTGAGTTGCTGCAAGTTTGAACCACCTTGCTTCAACCTCTTCAACATCAAGTCGGAGGCCCACGAATACACCGTCACTCTTGTTGGCCAAAAGTCGGTGATTAGCATGACTTTCTGGCCAGTTCTTTGGTTCCCTTTGCGAACAGGCTCCATTTTGTCACTGCTGTGGTGTTTTCTTCGTGCCCTGAGATGGCACTACCTCAAATGCACATGCCCCCTGCAGCGGAGGGCATCGGCCCCTGCAGCGGATACAACGTTGGTGGCATTAGCCATGACTGCCCGTGCCACAGAGATGATGAGAACACCGGGTACGAGTTGTTTCTGTTTTTTTCCCGAAAGAATAGCCGTTTGCATGATGAACTCGTACTTCGATGGATTAGACCTGACCAGTGACCTGACCCGTGGCACCGTTTCGACCAACTCCCACGTTTGATCGACCAATGGTCAGGGCCAAGCCGGCCAAGCAAAAATCTGACGAATTCTTCTTACACATATCGTTGGTGTTGGCCGAGCCATGTTTTCTTGCGACGCGGCCCAGTTTCTGGAAGGATATATAGCTTCTCTCACAAAAACATTAACAGAGTCTCACATCAAGAAGTGCGCAGAAAGAGGACCTTTGGGCAATGACAAGTAATTGCCACGGTACTTGGGTATGGCTCAAGAATTGTGTACCCAAAAATATGAAAAGTAATCAAGCAACTGCATTGGTCCGTATGAGGTTCACACTTTTTGAAACCCACTCGAGGCGCCCATGACCCTCAAGTGTGAGCACGCCAGTGGGGCGAGGATTGGCAGAGGAGGCTTCTTTGCGGGGCGGGAGAACATGTCCCATTCACGGCTTGTTACCCCAGCAGCAAAAATGGTTTTTGGACACCTGGGGCCCGGACAAGGAAACATCATCAACATGTTGTATCAATGATTTGGACCACCTTGCTACAACATTGCCGCGCTCTCTGGCGAAAGCTGACTCACGCCCTCGGCCTTCGGTATCCTTTTGTGCGGCCATTTGCATGTTTCACACCTGTCAAGGTTCTTTGATCATGGCGAAAATGACGATCTGGCATGGATGAAGCAATCTCAAAGCTGATGATGTTGGAAAGACTCAATCTTTTTTGGCAACACGACATCCATGGATCGAACATTGGTTGGCATCATCGGTGGAAAAGCCCGTGGTGCTTGGGGTGAGAGCGGGTAGCTGGCTAAATTAAATTGGTTGCCAGATCGATGGAATGATGCCGCACCAACCAGCAGATGCTAGTTACATGGGTTTACAAGTACTTTCTGTGCGGTATCAACTTAATGGATCTTAATCGTACGATATGCAGCGGTCCGGTTTTTCTAGTGGTTTGGGTAGGGAGAGACTTCAACTCAGCAGATCTTGGTACTGCTACCTTGGAGCAACTTGATGATGAGGAAAGGAGAGACAACAGCTCAGAAGTAGTTTCGTGTGACGATCCTCTCGGTCGGCCGAAGTTGTTTGTCCATCCACCACAGTCGGGTGCCACCACGCCACCGCTGGTCGTGTTGGTCGTGGGACTTTGCCAGCTCCAACGCCGTTGGCGCGGCGATAGACCCGCGATCCCGCCACACCCGCGCGATTTAGCGCGGGCGGAGTGGTCCTTTTTCGCATGGCTTTGCGGTCGGGGGGCCTCAGGGGCCTTCGGAGGTACAATGCAGCGATTGGAAGAAATGCTTCGATACTTGGTCCTCACAGGGTCGCGGGTTCTTTTTGATCCTTGTCAGAAAGGTGGTAATGGCTTGGCTGCATGGATCTGCGTCGCGGATATTCCGGGCGACCGAGTTTGCCTCGTTGGGCGAATACATGGTTCAACACGACCGGAATTGACAAGTCCAGTCGTGTGGTCCTCTTTATCTTCAAAGACCCAGGCGATCCATGAGCAAGATCAGTGTGGGAGAGGCGAAGCATGCCAGAGATTGCCAGAGGGTTTTCGTTCGCAGAAGCAGTTGCCAAGATCCGATGTGATAGAATGGCGATAGGCAAGATCGATTGTGTTTTCAATTGCACACACCGGATGTTGATGGAGTTTCGTGTGGCATCCTGCTTGAGACCCCTTTGATAGCCGCTTGGTAGACCTACGTCAATGGCCTGAAGCTAGGGGAGCTAGGGGTGGACCTTGAGGCGATGATTCTCTTTAGTCGCAAGAAGCTTCTTGGTGGAGGCCATTGCTATTAGGTTGGAGGCCATTACTACTAGTAGCAAGGACTCTACTAGTAGCAAGAAGCTTCTGCAGGTGAGATCACTCTACCAGTTTCTGTGGGCCTCGTTCGAGGGCTCTCGAGTGCCCTTAGCTGCTCTCAGGGCGTGAGCAGCGCGCTTCAAGACGTCCTTCACCACATCCATGCCTTGCAGAAGGATCGCGAATGTCCAACGACGACGTACGTGCTATTTTCAGTCCAGTTGAATCCGGATATTTACCTTTTGGATCCTTTTGGTAAATCCACGTGTGAAGATCTGTGAAGACATCAAACATTGCTGTCTACACGGACATGCATGTTGTATAAGAGGTTCTTCTGCTGAGAGTCCAAATGACTCATTTTAGCACTATGGTAGTGGTGGATTAAGACTCCCAGGTGGGGTAAAATGAGTGATTGGAAGTTCTGGGTGTCCCTTTGACACAGCAAGACGCAGTTCTGCGAAACGAGCAGGTGCACCAAGCTCGCGCGCCAGGATCAGACTGCACAACTGCTGGGCTTGGATCGATTGGCCAAGCAGGTCGAGTTCGTTGTTGAAGTTCCAAAGGGAGAGCATCGACTTAGCACCTGCTGTCTTGGCACCTACTGTTCCAGTGGTTTGATTTTTCAGTTGTTTGCTTTCTTGTTGTTGTCACAACTTCGCTGGCTTCGCCGATGTTTTGTCCACTCATCTTACTGGAATGATGCTTGTTTCTAGTTTGTAACAGATTGCATCCGTGTTCTTGATTCGGTGGCTTTACCTAAAGGAGTGATTGGCCGCTAGCCGGTGCTAGCCTTTGCTTTCACAGTGTTTAGGCTTAGGCAGATAAAGCATGTTGGAATGAACACACATCAAATGCGAAAGATTCTTCAAGGCAAAGATTGAGCACCATCTCGTTAACGTGTCGTTTGCCGCTTGACGTATCAGTTGGCACACAAAACTAATCCATTTGTTTTTCCACGTGCATTTGTTCATTTCGATCTTCAGGTGGAATCACTCAGCACGGCCAGGGCCTAATCGGGCCGAAAGGGTTCATTCAAATTCTTTATGAAATCTTACATTTCCACTTAGGCCGTGCGTCTTGAAACTCTTTACTTATATAGGGGTCTTCCATTTCCGACTTGGTGGAGCCACAACTGCGCAGGAGAATTCAATTCTTCGCACCTTTGGGTTGGATTCAACGCTCACCAAAAAGGGGGTGTCCTGGATGTCTGGTTCAGTGACTGCATTGTGGGCCATGTGAATAACATCTCATTACATGTCGTTACAAGTCTTGGAAGACAGGGTGCAGTAGATTTTGACATCTTGACCTGAACTCTTCTCCTGCAGGTCATTCATTGTGCTTGGTTGGAGTCGGATTTGAGAAGACAGAAGATACTTGTAGCAATGTTTAACGTAGATGTGGATCGAAACAACGCAGAACTGAGCTTCCTTCGAGAAGGATGCTTGCCTTTGCCATTCGCTTCATATTGTCTTCAGCTCGAGGCCTCCTCACCAGGCACAGTATCTGGCAGCTTTGCTGCTGCGAGCTTTGCAGAAGTGAAACGGCAACAAAGCCCGACAGAGTCAGAACCAATGTCGGAAGAGCAGGCCGAACTTGTGCCTTTCGGGCTAAGCAACTTTCGGGTCACGCCACCGGAGAACGACATGGACCGATGTCGTTTTCTTCTTTTCTTTAGACCTTCTTTGTAGGACCTAATAAACTACATTAGCAATGCCCTCCAACCTAGTAGCAATGGCCTCCAACCTAATAGCAATGGCAATGGCCTCCAACCTACTAGCAATGGCCTCCAACCCAATAGCAATGGCCTCCAGCCTACTAGCGATGGTGGCCAAACAATAGACATAGAATTGAGACACGTCTCCAACCGCAGTGTTCTTTCTTTTTAATGCTGCTGTTAGTCCTAGGGATTGCTCCCCATGATGGGTTAGGTGTCGAAGTGGAGGCCTAACGTGCAATGGAGTTTGAATTATGGTGAGAGATTGAGAGTGGCACAGCAGGTCCATGAGCTTGCCAGGCATGTGTGGCCATTACTTGTATTTATATGTTATGTATCTGTAATTTGTAACATGCTGAGCCTTCACATTCCTGTAAGTCTTGCTCGACTCCAGTTGTTTTACCACCTCTCCATGATCTCCCACTCCGTACCGGTTGCAGATTGCAAAGATAAACTCTGAACGTCGGGAACACATTGAAGAGCTGAATCGCATAGCAACTGACACCTGCCTGCAAAAGATTTCAGCCATTGACTCATGTTTCTGCTTTGACAACATTTTCTTGGCATTGTTTAGTTTGTCCACGCACGATTGTGCTGGGCACGCCTGCCAGCACCCACACACGCACACACACACACACACACTTTGACATTGGGTTTTCAGTTAACTCAGTTCCCAGGTCGAAGAAAGGTGATGGAACAGAAAGGTGAAGCGTCCAGGCACTTGAAGGTGTTTGAACAAAATGGTTTCTTCGTGACTGCAGAATTCAGCGGTGGCAAAACGAGCGGCGCGGCGCAGCTGCGGAAACTAAGGTTTCGGGCTGGTAGCATGAAGAACCATGAAATCAAACAGAGCAAATTAGGCAGCGTGGTCAAAAGTTCGAAAACTGTCGCAGGTACGTGAGTCGAGCGTCCTCGACTCATATCACAGGAAACGTGCAGCGTCTTCGTTGGTCGCTGACTGCACGAATCCCCAGCGACCCCCTGCGATATGGATCGAACAGAAACTCTTTGGAACAGAGTGTGACACACACACTCAGCCGCTTCGCGGCGCTCTTGCGGAAAACCTGAATAGGCACCTAAAAAGCCTTAGAAGCAAAAAAAAGAAAGCCAGAAAGAGCAGCGCTAAAAGGTCAAGAGAGAAAGATAGGCGTAGCAAAAAGTGAATACTTAGCCCTTGACTGGGGTAGGGAAACGAGCCTTAAGAACTACCTAAAAAGCCTGAAAGAAAGCCCAAAAAAACGAAAAAGCGGAAGAAAGAAAGCGCAAGGGCAGGGAGGTGTATGTACATGTGTGTGTCCGTGTGTGTGTGTG